GTGCAGCACTACGAGTTGTACGGAGAGATTAGCGCAGAGCAATCATACATGCTGGACCAGATCTGCGTAGTGATCGATCGGTTAAGCCAGCAGCAGTTTTTGCTTTCAATGCTGTACGTGGGTTGCCACGAAGAGCTCGAGATATGTAGTCGGATTCGGGATAAGTACTCCAGCATCAAGGGATCGCTGACGAACTCCAACTTCACGCTGAATGCACCGAACGTGGAACAGCAATTGCAGCAGTTGGCCTACATCGAAGCCAAGCACCTGGATATGCAGTCACTGAATCCACCACCATCGCTGGAGAAGATCTCATGCTGTGTGCAGCCGTTGTTGGCGGTTGAAGTGCTGCTGAATCCTTGCAAAGACACCAGCTACTACGTGGCTGAGTTGCAGATGCTGCAGCGTTTGAAGAGGTACACCAACACGCGCATTTTCTATGAAATTATCCGGGCCGGATTCCTTACGCTAAGCAATGTGGCCGATACCAGTCCGGATACAATGTGGGGTGCGTTTATGTTCTTCAAGATGCCGCACATTATCAAGCAGTTGCATGCACTGCAGCGGATTCCAGGGGAGCAACCACCTCCGGCAGATTACATACCTGAATTGGTTGAGGCCTTAGAGCTTCTTATCGAAGACAATCTATTACTGGACTTTATGGACACAAAGTGCTCTTGCAATATGATCGAGTTCCTGCTGAATGACTGGACCAAGCAGCAGTTGGTAAACGATGTGCATGTGAAGAAGTTTGCCAGTCATAGGTAAGTCTAGAAATAATGAGATTTCAATAACCGAACTAATCTATTTTTTTTTCTCCTCCAGGGAAACTGCCTCTCAGCTACTTAAAAAATGCGACAATGGCCAACAGACACCTTCTAATATAAACTTCATCAAGCGGGCCGAAGTTCCGCTCTCCGGAGTGCTCAAGACGCTGTGCACCAACAAGGTGCAGGACATGGTGAATGTACTCTGCCAGGTGCCGGTGGGCAACAGCTTTGAGTTGATCCTTTCGGTGGCTACCGTCGAGGGACGTCTCAAGACTTTCGTCTCGCGCCTAATTCAGTGCAATGAGAACTCCAAGCCGGTTCCAGGCGAGCTGGGCAAGCTGTGCGTTATCCGCTCCACACTGTTTGATGTCTCCTTCTTGATGTTGACCAGCATTGTGCAGACCTATGGATCGGATGTACGTTAGCTTTGTTTACCTAAAATGATTCACTGTAATATTAATGAGAACTTGTTTATTTCAGGTGGTCTTATCTGAGCGTGGTGACTCCTTCTTCGAGAAATGGGTGCGGGAGTGCATGGTGGAGCGGAATAAACTAAAGAATCCGCGGCAAATTCTTGCCCTTTGCGATGACAGCATCGTGGATGAACTTCTGCTGAGTTTAAGCAAACCAGAGGCAGCCCAATTGAAGCCAAGTAACCTGAGTTGGCAGGAGACCTGCCTAAATCTGCCCGGTGTGCTGCATCACGTGCTCATAGCTTGGGAGCAGGAGACCCTCTCCTCAGCGGATGTAAAAAGTATTTTGGACAATATGAAGCGGCGCCTTTTCAGCTTCTCCGTTTGCGCTACAAGTTTCTTGTGTGCCTACATGTATTCAGTAAAGGAAACGGAGCTTCTGAAGCCCTTGAACATGATCCAGCAGTTCCTGGCACCGTTGAGCAGCGAGGAACTTTCCAGTCAGGAAAATGCTAAGGAGCGGCTAACTCTGTCTTATCAGATCATAAGAAAAATGCAACACGATGTGCATCCCGCCCCTAACACTAAATCCCGCCTGATTTCGCACTCGCCGCTTGTCGAGCAGTTCCGTGAAGTGTGGCGAATCGTCGTCGACGCTGGCCACCTACCCGTTCGCGCCGCTCAGACACTAGAGTCGCTGCTGCTGGCCGGCGGAGCGGCGTGGCTGGCCACGCAGCTGGTAGAGCAACTGCTGGCCTGCAAGTACACAAGGGATATGTCGCGAACAATGGACGTCGTGTTTGCCGTAATGCACCTGGACATCGAAAAGACTACGGAGGCCTTGTTGCTGTACGTGGTGGCTCCCCTACTGCTCCGAAGACAGGGGTAAGTATTTTATTTTATTTTTTTCACCTCAGTATTACAGCATTTCAAGGTATCTCTAATATTAAAACTTTAAATGCCTGCAAGTCTTATTTAAACTTAAAACTTTTAAGCAACACTTTGATAATGATCTTAGTTGTATGTTACAAAATTTATTTATATCCAAAGAATAGAATCGAGTTAGTGGTAATTTAAAGATGTGAAAACTGAAACTGCTATTATTGAATTCTTTCTTATAATTTACCCTCTTTATATTCTAGCGAGGACGTCAATGAGCCGCAATCCCTCGTGCTGGCCCGCCTGTGTGTCTACTGTATTATTTCATGCCTGGAAACCCGGAGCGGAAATGTATTCCCCGCTTTGACAGCCATGAAGAAGCGATCGAGATCCCACGATGAAGAGGAGCTGACGGCCAATGCAGCCAAAGTCCGCAAGGTTATTGGAGATGGCAGCGACAATTCCAGCGACTTTACGGATAACGCAGCTGGAGCTGGTTTAGGAGCTATACTGGGATCCACATCCACCGGCGAGCTGCGAGCCACGCCACTTACAATAAGAGAACCGCTGCAGAGAAGCGTTCAGCATATTTTTGGAGTATTCTTGCAGTTTGTCAGTGGCGATGAGCTCTCACCCAAGGCCGTATTTGTCTATCAGTTCATCTCGTTGCTGGTGGAATGCGGTGGTGAGCGGGTGGCTCCCGTGCTGCGTCTACTGCCCGCCAGCCTAGTGCAGCAGCTGCTCAAGGTCCTGGTCACCGATGACATACGAGTGGGTCTGATCAGCAGACTATACGACCTGCGAGTCCAGACGGGAAGGCAGTCGGCGGTGGCCGATTTGTGTTTGTGGCGGAACATGCAGATGGCCAGGCACAGCATCCACCTGTGAGGGATTTCAGGATTGCCCCTTTGGGCGAGCCGATTAAGATTAAGAGACGGGCGGGCGAAATTGCTAAATGAATTGTATTAAAAACTAGAAATTGGTGACTCGACTCGGCTTCTTCTTCGCACGCAGTGGATTTTGCTTTCGTTTATTACAATAATTTGTTGTCGCCGATGTTAGTCTGTGTTTGCATCATCTTCTCCAGTTAGCGGGGGTAGGGAGGGTTGTTTGGGCAGGCTTAAAGTAAGAGACCTTGGGATTCCCTATATCACTTGAGCAGACAGCACTCGAAGTAGGTCTCGCCCACATAGCCGCCGCGCATCGCCTTCTTCACATTGTACTCAAACTGACGGCGGTTGGTCTGCAGGATGTCGGCCGCCTCCTTGTTGAGCGGATCCTCGGGATTGGGTTCCTGCAAAATAGTTGATTGTGTTTGTTTTAAAAAGGTTTTTTTTTGTTGATCTAACTAAAAATTGCTATAATCATTACGTTGCATTGGGTACTTGTATGTTTATTTTGTAACCTAAAGCAAAAAAAGGTATCCAAAGTAAAAAATAAGTTATTTGCGACCTGTGTGTATGTGGGCACTATCTGTCATAGAATGATAAGATCAACAAATTTTAAAACAGATTAGTAATCGGAGAGACAAATACAGACAGGCTTGCAAAGGGACGTCCGAATATGCTGATCTAATTAACTGAAAAATTAAGATGAAGGGAGCCTATCAATCTATACAAGTTTCTTTCATAAACCAAAACCTCCCCCGATGGCAAATACAAACCAAGAACAGAAACTGCAAGCCATAGACGATGGAGTTGATGTTTAGCACTGGATTCCAGTCCTCTCGCAGAATGTTAAGGCAGACGTTGCCCTCCAGGTCGATGTTGGGGTGATACACCTGGGTGGCGCACTTCACCTTGGGCGGCTCATGCGGATAGTTGGATCCGACGCGGAAGTTGAACACGAAGCGCCCGTCCCTGTAGAAGCCCTCGTCGGGTGAGATGATCAGCTTGAAGTTGAGCAAGTCATCGGGATCGGGGAAGTCTGTGGCGCAAGTGTTTGGCAGGTTCAGTTCGCTAATATCTGAGGGTGAGAATCGTATTGGAGAGGGATAAGTAATGGCCGAGAGACATATATCCCGGATAGCACCTTTCTGGATGCGCAGCTGGGCGGCGGAGGCTTTCTTCTGCTGGCCACCGCTCCCCTTTTGTTCGCCGTCTTTTTTCTGCTGCTTCAGCGTGAAGAGTTTAATCATCTTGGCGTCCTCGTCTCGCTGGCGTTTCTTCTTCTGCGTTTGGCTGTGCGCGGATTATTCGTTCTCCTCGGAGTCTTTCCTATTTATCGGGCAGGTGGCATTGTTTTAAATTTCAAGGGTTGGGGAGCAATTGTTTGACTGATTTGCCTACCGTAAACACTACTTGTGATGTGAAATTCTCTTCGAGTGCTTTCTTTACTTTAGGGTCGTTTCTCCTTGTTTCTTGATGGCGATGGCAGCTGCCAAGCGATGAGTGTGCGTAATCGATATTTGCGCTCGATGGCAGCGCTGGCTTTGGGCGATAGATGGGCAGTGTTGGTAATCGGCGGTGTGGGCTTATCTGGTTTTGGACCTGGCGGATTTTAAAAGTCAAAAAATAATTCTTAAAAAAAAGATAAACTGCCATAAAAGGATTAACTTCACAAAGCCAACACATATAAATTTACTTGATTTTTATTTCGTTAGCACGACTTTCTTCTATCTAAATTAAAATATAATTTGATTTGCTGTCAGACTAATATACAATTGGGAATCACATGTGGAATGTTGACCAGACCAGTATTTCAATACAGGGCTCACAAAAAAAAGAATCGTTAGGCTTAACACCATTTCATTTGCTCCAAAATATAGTTAAATAACATTTCTGCTTTCTTACTTTAAACTTAATGCTTACATGTTCTTATACTTTTTTGAAACAATAATTAAAGTGTTTTCATAATCCGGAAAATTAAAATCGGATCGTGGCTATTAATTCATTTGGCTATTTTTCTTCCAATTTTAGCTTTTTTCGCCACTCGTGAATGCCATCCCCAACGGAAACCAGGGATGCCATACCAGCACACGTTGACTCCCGGACAAAACTTCATTCGCATTGTATATTTTGAATTTCAAAGCTTTTAACCATGTCTTCGGAGCCAGCGGTGGCCAAGGATGCAGTGCTGAAGCGCAGCGAGGCTCTTGCGAAGGACACACCCCAAGTTCGGGGCTACGACTTCAACGAGGGAGTAAACTATAGCAAACTGTTCGAGTCCTATGTAAACACTGGGTTTCAGGCCACGAATCTCGGCCTGGCCATACGAGAAATTAACAGAATGGTGAGTTAATGGATCTTTACTCAGCTGCAATATGTAACAAACCCCTAACACTGACAGTTGGATTGCAGAGACCAGCCACTGGAGGCGGATCAACAGGATAGTCATGAAACCGACGATTTTATCCGGCGGAGGAGTAAGTGTACCGTATTCCTGGGCTACACTTCCAACTTGGTTTCATCAGGAATGCGGGAGACTATTCGCTTCCTGGCCGAACACCGCATGATAGACTGCATTGTGACCACAGCCGGAGGCGTGGAGGAGGATTTCATCAAGTGCCTGGCGCCCACGTTCATGGGTTCCTTTGAGCTGAGTGGAAGGGATCTCCGCGAGCGGGGAATAAACAGGATTGGTAACCTTCTGGTGCCCAACGACAACTACTGCAAGTTCGAGGACTGGGTGATGCCGCTGCTGGATGAAATGCTGGAGGAGCAGAAATCCCATGGAACTGTCTGGTCGCCCTCGAAGATTATCCATCGATTGGGCGAGCGCGTTGGCGATCCTAGTTCTATCTACTACTGGGCAGCCAAGAATCAAATACCCGTCTTCTGCCCCGCCTTGACAGATGGCAGCTTGGGCGATATGATGTACTTCCACTCCTTCCGACAGCCTGGACTCGTGGTGGACATTCTGTCCGATCTGCGGAGGCTAAACACCATGGCCGTGAAGGCCGTCAACAGCGGGATGATCATCGTAGGCGGCGGCGTCATTAAGCATCACATCTGCAATGCGAATCTGATGCGAAATGGTGCCGATTACTCTGTGTTCATCAATACCGCCTCGGAGTTTGATGGTAGCGATAGTGGAGCCCGGCCGGATGAGGCCATATCATGGGGCAAGATCCGAAAAGATGCCACTCCCGTCAAAGTCTACGCTGAGGCGAGTTTGGTCTTTCCTTTGATAGTGGGCGAAACCTTTGCAAAGCGACATCATTGCGACGACAAAGAATTGCCCCGAGAGACTAACCAAGTGTAAATATATACGAGAAAACAAGGACAACACAATCAACACAGATGTGACTTATTAAGCAATGGTGCTGGGCCGCAAATGGGTCGTATTGCGAGTCCGGAATGGGAGTCCCCGAAGTGTTATGCCCCGCCCAGATCCAAACTGTCCTGGCAGAAAGCCATTAAGCGTCGTCGGAGATGCTTGCTGCATGTGATAAACACCACCGGCAGCCGCATTGCACTCGGCCACCTCCAGCGGGCCATTCACATTCCGCCGTAATGGTTCTGCCGGAGTCGCTTGAGTGCCGCAAAAATGCAACTTTTGCCGGTGGTCACAGATGCCATATTCCTTCTTGCCTTACTTTCACGCAAATATCCCCCCCCTACTTCTGGCCTTAATTGTTTGCCAAGTTCGCTATGGTTGGCCGGAAATTGTCCGGGACGGAACAGTGCATCCCCATAAGCCCACGAAATTTGTCATTAATTTTATGCCACTAATGTAAACGCTCGGCTTCCGTCACTCTCAAATTTTCCTCCGTTTTGGCCAACCAAACTTTGGCTGTCTGTACGCATCATTAAAGCCGAGCGGAAACTTTTTTGCACACTTACTTTTTGTTCCCTCTTTTCCGCCTGCTTCGACAGTTGGCGCTACATATTTTGAGCTATTGTCAGGCAGCAGTGGAGAAAGATGGACTGGCAGAAAGTTTGGGGATTGCAGGGGCACTGCATTTTCTTTGACAACTTTTTCGCAACTGCTTGCAACTTTTGGCTGGTTTTTTTTCGGAAAATGAATGGTTTTCGAGCTGAGGCAAAGAAAAACTATTATATATGTACTTAAGCGTGCATATGGCAAGAAATGTTGGCTTTATCAAATTTGGGAAATTTATACGCCTTTAAAAGCCCCAACATTTTTTGAGTTTGAGGTTTTGTTTTAGTACTTCCGCATGTGTGAAAAATGAGAAAATCAAATGATGCATTATGTATAATTTGTGAAAATTTTCAAAGAATTTTTTTAATATTTCCAAGAACTTAAGAAGATCTTTGGGGTAGTTAGAAATCTTGATCTTTATTTTTCAAAGCAATGTAACCCTGCAAAACTACTTATAAAGCTATGCCATTTACAAATAATTATTTTTTGGAAATTTATGTTCGCTGTCAAGAAAATCAATTGCACTTATTTTTGCAAGGCCATTATCGGCAGTCAGCCATCGTTAAGAAGTGCTTAACTGCATGTTGTCATAACCAAAGGCGCAGACCCACACACACACACACACACACAGTTTGGGCCCACTTAGGATATATCCTTCTCCCACACGCTCTTTCGAAGCGCTTAAAAACTAATTACGAACAAAGCTGTTGCTGCTCTTCCTACTTTGTTGTTTCTGGCTGCGTTTTCTTTTCTCCGTGCAGGCTGAAGAAATGGCCAATACACAGAGAGAAAATCGACTGCTAAACTATGGTTTCCTAAATGTTTCATAACGTTTTTAATATCGGCTGTGGTACACTAGTTCAATGTATCAAGACGTCATAAAATAAAGCAGTTCTCAGCAATAATGGAAGAGATTTCTGGTTTCGTTTCACCAATTTTAATAATATATATTAAATGCAATTTTGTTTACGGAAAATAAGCTTACGAGACCAATTGTTGATGGCTTAGTTAATGCTTTAAACGATGGTTCATAGAATAAAATATAAATATTTTTTTCCGAAGTGTAAGTGCGTAGATGATTGCCGACTTTCCAGGACTACAGCCAACTTCCCTCCGTGATTACGAGAAAATTAAAACTACATTAAAAGTTTTGCAGTTGACGCAGACGCTGAAAAGTGTGAGAGGGGGCAGAACTTTTCAAAACAACTTAACGATTTATTGATTCGAACAAGAAAATGGAAAATATATAGAAATGTGTGTGGGCAGGAGATTTTCGTAGGAGGATTACCACTTGTCGACGGACAGATCGCTGAGTACATCGGATAACTTTTCCAGCTCTTCGGCGCTCTTGGATTTTTCCAGTTGGCAAATCCTGCACGTTGGATCTATTGGCCTTGCTTTTAAGGACTTTTCCCAGAGACAGTACTCACACTCCGTGATCCTAGGGCTGGACGGCTCTTCAAGAGGACGTCCTGTAACTGCGGACTGGTGGCTCCAGATTAGAACTTCCCGGCGTTTCAAATCGTCCGAGAGCACTCGAAGCCTTTGCCGCTCCTGCTTCAAGTACTCCTGCATCTGGCGGACTTTTCCCTCCTTTTCGTTGAGAATCTCATGCTGATGTTTCTGGATGTGGTCATACAGCATGCGTACGTTCTTTTCTCTTCGCGCGCAAGCCTGATTCATTATACCATTCAAAATGTCTTCCAAGCTGCAATCCAATTTCGAGATCTGCGGGCTGGTAACCAGTTCGTTCCGGAGAAAGGGCTCAAAGCAGGTGGCCAGGAAGTTGAGTGGCATTTCTCCTCCCGACCAATTTTTTAAAAGAGCTATGGCCTCACGGCAGGCCTGATAGATACATTCCTGTTGGAGTTCCTGTTGGTCCACCTTGAATTTCTCGGCCATCTTCTTCTCCAGCATTAGGCTTCTGCTCCTGTAGTGCTGCTCCGCTTCGACTGTGCGGCTGTGCAGCGAGTCGATCTCCTTGAGGAGGTCCTGGTTCGCCTGCTTCACGCTGTCGAATTCGGGAAGGGGATTCTTTACGGTAGCTTCTTTTGAACACCGACTACTTCCTCCGCCATAGCTCGAGGCAGTGGACATTATTTCCTCGGCTTCTTTCACGGCCGCCGTCATCGGCTGCTCCTCCACCGTCCCCCCGTCGTACTCATTTAGCAAATCATCCATGCAGCGCTGCACGTTCTTCATTTCGGTGAAGGGCTTCCTTAAGTGTCCAATCTCCCGTAACTGGTCGTTCATCATCAGCATTATGCAGTTGCGGGCGTATTTGTCCTGACCCGTGGCCTGCTGCAAGTGATCCAGCCATCGCTGGCTGAGATCGATGTCCTTCTGGCTGATTGGATGTTCCCTCGTGAACAAGCGCAAATTGCGCACTTGGGTGGCAAAGTGGCGGTCCAACCCGCACTCTGTGAGCGGGTTCATCCTTGGAATTCTTTTTATAGGTTTTTAGAATTTCGATTTGAAATTTGGGTATTATTTTTGGTTTGATTTTTGTGAAAGGCTGGGAATGAAGAGTTGATCGAAAATGTGAAAAAGGTATAGAAATATCACAGCTGATCGATATTGATAGATTTATTGGTTTTTATACACAGCTTAAAAATACTTAAGAAATATATTGATTGCCTTAAAAAAATAAATAATTCCTAAAAAAATAAATTAAGGGTATATTTTGGGATTATTTGATTGTAAGATATGAAGGATTATTGATTATAAGAACATTTGTAACAAATGAGATATGATATTAATTACCAAACAAATAAGACTGATTTGACTTTCATATTTATTATCCTTTCTTATACACATTTTAAAAATATTTAAGAAATATATTATGGTTCTGATTCCCTCAAATATGTATCCTCTTGATGAATTAAATTAAGGATAGATAGGATCTGTGGGATTCTTGTTTTTAAGAACATTTGTATTAAATGAGTTATGATATTAATTTCCCAACAAAAGAGACTGATCTAATTTCTATATTTATTTTATTCAAAATCCAAACTACAAACTGGACACTTAAAACAAAAAAATGTTTTATTGCTTAAAAACATATGTATTCAATTTAGCACAATTTAAATGCCATTTCTCTGAAGGCCACTTGTGCCTAGGGAACCCGGCAATGCCCTTTACGAATTTGGCCCACACGTGCCAAGTGTGCGTGTGCAACAACAATGCCTTGTATTGGCCCAGTAAGTTGGAACTGAGTCAAAGACTTTGAGCTGCGATGTCAGCGACGTCAGCTGCATGTGTAAACGCGGCCTTCGCTGGATAACCAAGCGGGCATGGGCCCTATATAAACTGGCCAGTCCGGTCAACTCAACATCAAATCAAGCTCACAGCTCCAAGTAGTCACTACTAGCAAACAAAAAACCAATCAAACAATCAACATGAAATTCGTAAGTGACATGATTACTTGAATTATTTAAAGGATCAAATAATTAATTAAAATTTGTAACCGCAGTTCGCCGTCTGCTTCTTCGCTGTTGTGGCTGTGGCTGCTGCCAAGCCCGGAATTGTGGCTCCTCTGGCTTATACCGCTCCGGCTGTGGTCGGCAGTGCCGCCTACGTGGCCCCCTACGCCTCCAGCTACACGGCCAATACCGTGGCCCACAGCGCCGCCTTCCCCCGCCTACCGCCGCCTACACCGCCCCTGCCTATACCGCTCCTGTTGCCGCCGCCTATACCGCCCCTGTTGCCGCCGCCTACACCGCTCCAGTGGCCCGCTTTGCCGCCCCCTACGCCGCCGCCTACACCTCCCCTCTGGCCTACAGCTCGCCCTATGTGGCCACCGCAGCCGCTCCTCTGCTGCTGAAGAAGTAACTCAATGGATTGTGAACTTTGCCGAAAATATTACCCCGTGAGCTTTGCTCATGGCTTGGCTTTTATTTTCCCGGACCACAACATGCGATTTTGAAAATAAATAAAACATTTTAAAATTTAATGGTCACTGTTTTCTTTCGGGGATGATTTTTAAGGAGTCAAACCTGTAGTAAATTAGAAAAAAAAAATTAAAAATCTTTTTCAACATTTTTAAAAAATAATTTTGAAATCTTATCATTAAAAGTGTATTAATCTTTTCTTTTTTAGTGTTGATTAGAATCGAAATGAGGTAAATAAAATATTCGCCTTCACAAAATCTCTCTAATGCCTTCTAAAATGATGTATTTTTGCAATGTTTCAAATGCCTCGGAAATTTATCACTCATACGCAGGGTTGCTGACTTGTGATTAACCAGACATTGAAATGAAACATAAATCTTGACATAGTAAAATTGCTTAAATAATCCGCTTCTTATGCATACATGGTGTTGCACCTTTTTTTAAATATTTAAATTATATATTTAAATTTTAATGGGATTTGATGATTTTCGAACAAAAGTTAAGGCTTTTAGGTGAAAATTCATTGCATACTTATGGACGCACATCCTGTAAAACCCTTAAAAATCGCACGGGCTGAGGTTGCCTGCATTTTTGTCACCTTTCGCTGCCGTTTGCCTTAATGGCACAAATACCGGAAATACTTTCGAGAAGCCACCTTCCTCGTCCCTTCACTGCTCTCACTTCCGATCTGCCCGACTTCCTTATTAATTTCTCGAATGCTGCGTTGGTATTTTTTCTGCCCGCCTGCCACTCATAAATTGCGCAAATTCCTTTTGTGAGCGTCAAAGAAAAATGTCAGCAGGATGGGGAGTGCTAAAGTTGGTTGGTGTGGTCACATCTAATTTCTCTGCGTGTCCTGGGCACGCTTATTAAAGTATAAATCATTTGATGGCAGCTCCTGCAAAGTGACCAACAAATACGTCACAAAGAAGAAACCGGCAATCAGCCCAAAAAAAAGGAAAATGTCTGGAGTCCTGACTGCACTGCACTGCCCGGATGGTTAGCCAAAGTACATTATAGTCCTTGGTCGGTTGCAGGCGGCAACAAATGTAGCAGAAAACCGCAGCCGAGAGTAGTGCAATTAAATACAGGAAATAATGGCCACCACAGCACTAGCAGAAGCAGCTCCTGCCCCACTTGGAGCTGGGTGGTGCTGGTGCTGGTGCTGGTGCGGTGTCTCGGAGGCGGATCGGTGGTCTGGTGGTGCACAGGAAAGGACAGGATGCAGGAAGCCCTCGCACAGCATCTTGGTCGGCCAGCAGCCGCCTGCTGTTGGCCAGCAAATTTAGAAACGGAAAGAATTCAGCAACATTCGGCCAGATGGAAGCCGGTGAATGCTATTATGTAGACACATTAAACGAAGATTGCCCAGGGGAATCTCAGAAACGAATGGGTTGTGCCTGGGACTATCTGTCTTTCAAGTATTTCAGGATGGATGATTGTGGAAAAATTAAATAATTATAGTGTATAAAGAAACTTATTTTAGCTAAAGAAAGAGTGTTTAATTTTTCAATTGCTACTTAAATTTCCTAATTATTAGTTTTTCACTTTTAATGTAGAATTGGTTACAAACTATCCAAAATTCCAACAGATTTTCCTTTATATTCTTATCCAGAGTGCCAAAAGTGTACCTCTTACGATAAAATAAACTTCATGTTTTACTAGTAAAGCTTAAGGTTTGATTTACAAAATTATTATGAGTTAGTAATGCGAAAATCATTATTGTTTCGCAGAAACGTTTGCGGCTGTTGAGCGAATTTTAACTCAAATAAATTGGTAACAAATTAAGAAGTTCTAAATAGAAGAAAGGGAATGTTCTGGCTTGACGTTCAAGTTAATGGTCAACTTTTAACTGCCAAATTTCCTTAACTTTTCACTCACATCACATACTTTAGCCAACTTTTTGTTGGCGAAACAATGCTCCCTGGGAAACTTTCCCGGCACCATTTTTAATCGAAATTTCTTGGAAAACAGCTTTATTTACACCCGGTTGAGTTGACTTCTTAATGTAGCGCATTCCAATCAGAACCGCACCCACGCACACAGAGACAGCATTTGGTTGCGGCTTCCTATGTCCTGTCTCAGAAGGACATCTCATCGGACATATTTGCATTCCGTTGTGTGCGAGTGTGCGAAATATTTTATAATTCAATTTTCAATTGGCAGGTTGAATCCTGTAGAAATGGCTTGACATCCACAAACTATACATAACCGGGAGAATGTAGAATCGCATGGGTTGTCGGGCTCTAATTGAATTCCATGTGCACTTAAGCGACATCCGTTCATAATGAAATTTCGCAACAAAATTGTGGCAAGGACAAAAGAGTCGGCAAATATTGTTGCTATGCTAATGCAAAGTTTTGCCTCCGCACGTCGGTATATATATTTTTTTATTGCACCATAAATAATTTGAAATTGGTCGGAGAAAGGAGGAGAAAGCGGAGCCTGGCAACGGAGAAATTGAAATTAAATTGCCGTCCGACTGAAGGAATTCGATGCCGGCAGCCAACCAGATCTTATATATACTCATCGGTACATAGTAAATACATTTCTATATATTTTTATTCCACTCCACTCCGCTCTGCTTTATTTCATTTGACGTTTTATTTTGCACTCTGCAAATAATCGATTGTCAGTCAGCACCAACTGACGGGCCGTTTGACTCTCCATCGGAATGTTAGCTAAAGTATGAGCAGCTGCTTCAATATTGCGCATAGCATTTGAAAATTTCACACACTGCTGAAAAATTGGGCAAAATCCACGGCTCACTCTTGACCATTTCAAATAGTTCAATTCACAGTTCAATTAGCTAATTTAAATGGTTCCCATAAGTCACTTGATTAATTTGAACACACTTAAATTAATTGACAATACTATTTGCATTATATCGCTTTTATTGACACACATTTATTGGTCAATTGTTATACTAACACAAAACCCAAAATAGGTCACTCGAAGTGCAAAACTGAATTAGGATTATGATGATGAAATCAATAATAGTTATTTTAATATACATACTACCACAGAACAATTTTCAAATACATTAAATACATTTTCAAAACCAATGATTATACATTTTTATTTTTATTTTATTTATTTGCAGCACAAACAAATTTATAAAACAAAAATGTTTTAACACGTTTTGTTGTCTTGATATATATACACATAAATATTTAATTTGCAATCCAAAACGGTTTTATTTATGAAAAGTGTCGAGTACCCAAACTTTTAAAAGTTAAGGAACAAAAATCAGAATGTAACAAATTAATATACAATTTTAAATTAGCAGGAAATCAAATTTAATTAAAGTTTAACAAGTGCATACAACAGTTTTTATTTAACAGCTTAATGCTAGTTATTCAACCAATCACGAATTAATCACTTTCCTCAGTGTGTTTTTCAGTACGCAATATGCGTTTGATTGGGTGTTGCGCAAAATTCCTTACGATTGACTTGGCCTGGCGTTTTATTGATTGATTTGCAATGCCCACCAGCGGCTGACAATCAGCTTCTCGGGCTTCCGATGGAGCAACAGCTCCAGCTCACGTTGCGTATGCGTAATATTGTTATGGCACATCCTTGCACGCTCCTCCATGGAAAGTTTGCACAAGAAATTCAAGCAATGATCAAGTGTACATTTTAATGAACCCGCCTCCGTTCGTAAATATATGTATAAATACAATAAATTGCGCACAGAAATCAACTCTATTGCATGCCAATTTCCGGAATAAAAATATGAGCCTGTTTGTATGTAACGTCATAAATATGGTTCGTAGTCTGAAACTTTTTTCATTAAAACTCTTGAATGGTGGCAAGTTTGGCCGAGAAGTGGGGAAGCCCAGCTGGGCTAAGTGAGTGCAAAATGTTATTTTATTGTCAACAAGCAAAGTTGCCGAAAACACTCCGAAGACGAAAGCCAGAGCCGGAGGACTTGTCGTGGCTGATGTCAAATTTATTTAATATGCAGCATAAACAAAGCAGCCAGGACACGACACGCTCGTAAACTCATTTGCCAGCGAAAACAACTGTTCCCACTTGCTGCTGTTGGGAATTTTTTAATACGACCTCAAGGACCCACTCGCCTTATGAAATATAAATATTTTTGTGTTTTATATCCGACTCGGACGGCAACGCCCACAAGTTTTTTCATTAATTTGCAAACATCCAGAGTGCCAAAAGGAGGTGGCGATTAGTACCCGACCAAGAAACCAAAAACCCTCGGAAGGCATTTCGAAAAAGTCAATAAAAGTGTTGTTTTAACTTCTGGCACTTTTGGCCCTCTTCACGCCAGTCATTATCAACTTGTGCTGTCATCGCAGTCCAGGCAGCATCTGGGGAAATTTTCATAATTTTTGGCGACGAAATTGAATTGATTAATAAAATATGAGCTGATGGGCAGAGGAAGTTTTGCAACGGCAAAATACAAGAAAATATTTCTTTACCATTTGCACGGAGTCGATTATGAAGTTGCTTTAGGCAGGAAACAGGCATATTTATAGGAATGTAATCCTGTTAAAATAGCAATCTTCTTTTTGAGCTTTTTGTGCACTTTAAAAGCGTAAAAGACACAACTTTGAATTGGTGAAGTATTGTTTTGATTGCTTTTATTTATTTATATTAGTTTTAAGATTACCACAGTATTTTATTTATATCACGTGAGATAAAAAAACATTAAAGAATTTGGTAATGCAGAAAATGTTTTTCAGGTTATAACATGTTTACTAATATTTATGTTTTCATAACAAACAAGAGAGAACGCTATAGTCGGGTGCCCCGACTATCAGATACCCGTTACTCAGGTAAAGGGAGTGCGAGGGAGATGGAGATAGAAACTTTGATCACGCATAACTTTTTAACGAATGGTCCGATTTGAAAAATTTCTTCTACATTTCGATAGGTATTGATAAACACAATAAAACTGAATTTTTACTTTTCCGAAATATTTAAATTTTTAAAATCGTATATAAGCGATTGTGGGCGTGGCACCTTTTTGAAACAAACTTGCGCTGCGTAGAAACTCCTAGAATCTGCATGCAAAATGCCAATCTTCTAGCTTTTATAGTTTCCGAGATCTCAGCGTTCATACGGACAGACAGACGGACAGACAGACGGACATGGCTAGATCGACTCGGCTAGTGATCCTGAACAAGAATATATATACTTTATAGGGACGGAAACGCTTCCTTCTACCTGTTACATACTTTTGCACGAATATAATATACCCTTTTACTCTACGAGTAACGGGTATAAAAATGAAGACTAAAGGGAACAATTACAACTTTTAAACGAATTGCAAACATTTAATAAATTTTGTAAAGCACATGTGTAAGCTCATAATTGAAACTATGATTCGGAACAACAAAGGTAATTGCAGTTTATTTTCTTTATTTATTTTCTTATTTTCTTTTGTTATAAAAACTTTATTTTTTGTTACATATTTTTTATTTTGCTGGCGACAGAAGTTAAGCGCAGTGCTTATATTCACAGCTGCAGTGCTTCCATCAGTTATGAAAACATTTCAGTTTTTCTGGGCTGGTTAACATGCAAATTTCAGCGGCAAACTATCTGTTAAGTTTTTAAAGATGGTTTCCAGCTCATCCGGAATTCGTGCTCCCCTAAAACCACTATTCGTATTCCATCTGGCTAAACCAGCGGAGGAGGAGGAGCACAGAAAAACAAGCAAAGTCATCCATATGCATGATGCATGTCGGTAATGGCATTTCCAAGCCAACGACAAGTTGCTTAAAAAATCATCAAAAAATTCGCGTTAAGTGCTGGAGGTTGGCGGTTCGTCCCTCGCCACATCCGCGTCCATATCCAACGCCACATCCCCATTCTCATCCTCATCCCCATCCACATCTGTCATGCTCTTTGCTGCAGATGCGGTTGGAGAAATGCACGAAAATTGTAGTAAAGGGCCAAGAACGAAACTTAAACCGCACTCAAAAAGCTGAAGCTAACAAGAAATTGGACTGGCACATTCCCCTTAAAGCTTGAACTCAATATGTGCATAACTTTCGCTTTCCGGTGACAGGATCCCCCTGAACCCGCTCCCTCGGCTCCTTTGTCCCAGGCAATCTGTGACCCAAATCCAAAGACCGACCGCCTTAAAGCCTAAAACAAACTGTGTCAGTTGGCAGCCGCTCCTCCGCTCCTCCACTCCTCCACCACCCCACTTGACTTTTGCCCCACACCATATCCCCTCTATATCCTTCGCTGCTCGCATCAAAAGGCAAATATTGGCACTTGCCGCAATAACCAGGTAAGCGCAGGCTGAGTTGCCCTCTATCACAGACTCGAAAATGGGTCACCCTACAGTGGTGACCAGGTAAACAGGGGTTTTATTACGAAACCACTCACTTTAGAATGCGCTTTAATATTAGCTTGCGAAGTTTAAATTTTGATTTACAAGAATAAGAACGTTTTTTAGACAATAAATTAATAAGTAATGGGTCACAAGGTCATAACGTCTTAAAAAGTAGAATTAAAAGATTAAAATAACCTATTAAAACAGGAACTTAAATAACAAACAAATAAAGTATTCACTGACTGGCAATATGGATTTATGGTTAAAATTATAGAATATTTTGTTAAAGCTGTTTTTTTTTTGGGTTAGCATTTTCTTCCGCTTTTTCTTAAAAACCGCTTAAGAAATAGTAAATCCAAATTTAAAAATGGCTAATTTGTAAATGTTATACAAAATTAAAATGAACATCTAAAAACTTTCTTAACAGGTGCAACTGTCGCAAAATATTGTGTTCGAGTCCTAGAAAACACTATTGTTTTGATCTCATCTGTAAGTCGAAATATGCTAGCGCAGTTTTGGAAAGTAGATGAAAATTGGAAGCAAACTTCGAGCCTTTGTAATTGCTTCGCAGATGCGGCTTCATGACTTTAACCCTATAACGGCGAGAGGAGAGCTTTGCGCCGCAGATTGCCATGGGTTAAGCTAAGCCTCGCACACTCGCTCACATGGCTTTGAAATTTTAATGGCTTTTAAGTGAGTGAACAGGGGCGTGGCTGTCGCGCTTGAATTAACAAATTAATGCAAATGATTTCGGAAAACATTCTTCTTCAGCTCTTCTTGTACTCGCATCCGCCTGAAGATGTCTCGACTTATGCTTAATTTAATGAATATTTATGAGACCGTGCCTGTTTTGCCGCTTCTTATTTTTGCATCATCGTGTTGACTGCATTTCGATTTCAGGCTCTAATTTAATTGCAGCCAGGAGGGCGTGAGCAGGAGAACAACATCCGTTTCCGCCTGCCACGACATCCCGTCAAGTGCGGCAATCGCATTAGAATGCGCAGCGGACCTGTCCTTCGCATCGCATCCTACGCCTGACGGATGAGCTGGCAGGTGCTCCGCCTCGCTCCCATCTCCTGTCCGTCGATCATTGCACCCTGGTGCCCGTAGTCCATGGTACGGACCCCAGACTCCGGGTCTAATACAATGCCAGCCGGGGGCTGCGACTCCTGCTCGCTGCACTCATTTAATTGCATTATGCCGCAGGTTGTCGCATTGCCCTGAAAGTCCTGGCACTCCGGCACTCCAAAGACACTGCATTAATTTGCATGTGAAAAACTGCAGCCCGCTGTTGTTTTTGTTGTTATTTTTATTGCTGCTCTCTGTTTTTACCCAGAGTTAATGAAGTCAACAAGCTGCGGCTGCATTTCGTCAGACTGAGGAGCTTCGGGGCAAAAGGATTTCCAGAAACAATGCAATGGAAATTTTAGTCAGTTTCAACATCTGGGGAAAGTTCATTTTTTTTCTTGAATAGTCAAGCAAACCCATTAAATATCTGGGTTGTTACAGAAATGTCCAGAAGTTTTTGTATATGAGTGGTCTAAAAATCGCTAAAGAGCTCATTCCATGTCCCAGGTTTCTTTTAAGTTTTTGGACTAAAACATTAAATGATAAATAATACATATTTATTTATTATTATTTTTTTTTGTTTTATTCAAAAAATCATTCATAGCAGTGATGGATTTTTCGATATTTCAATATCAAAAATAGATGATAGTCAAAAAAAAATATTTATCTGTTTGACAATAATAAACTGTTACTTTACTTGTTTCGGAGCAATAATCTGTTATTCAATTATTATTATTTGGGTAAATAGGTTTTCCATTGCTACAGCTGTTGGGGGACTTTGTTTTATGAAATAAAAAAAATAAGTCTAATATACTTATTTTGGAATTATGTAGAAGTATCCCCATATCACAATCCCTTTTATACGTTATTCTCCCACAAGCTTAGGTTTGTGCAACCGAGAGAGTAACTCAATATATCCGAAAAACTTATAAATTCGTTTTAAAATTTGAAACAATCAGTTTCAATGCTTGGAACGAAATCCATATTGTTCAAGTCCAATTTCCGACAGCAATAGGAGTTTACCTTGGCACCACTCAAGAAATTCCCGCGACTAAACCAGGAGATGCGGGCACGTGCTCCGAACTTTCTGATGGCATTTCTTATGCTCTGGTGGGCACTGGCAGCCGCATCGTTGTTTCGATACCCAAAGATGTAGATGAACGCATCGTATTGGTACTCGTAGACTCGAAGGATGGCGAAGGGAAATATCTTGCGCATCTCCTGGTAAACTTGCCACGGACTGAGCTTCTCGACCCGATTTAGCAACAACTCGCGGTTATTGTTCGATGTGAGCACCTTGATTTTGAGGTTCCTCTGGCTGAATCTCCTCGGCAGGCTAAGGTTTTACAAATTAATTGTTATTATTGTATCTTACAGGCACCCTAAATAACTTACTATTCCAATGCCGCCTCCTTGAGAGGCGCATTGATATATTGCAAGTAGGCATAGCCACGACTTTGCCCAGAAAAATCGATCTTAAAGCGAAGGGCGTAAATCTCACCCAGTTCGCTGGCCAACTCCACAATCTTTTCCGGAGTACAATGCGGATGTTTGGGGATAGAAGTAAGAAATAGCTGCACAATTTACCAATTAAGTTCGAAACTTTTTCTGATTCTACGCGTTTTTTTAGAAATTACCTCACCGGCTCCCTCCTCCAGCGAGCACTTCAGTTCCTCGTCCAGTTCCTTACGTGTGGTTATGTAAATGGTGCCATTGATCTGACTTGTGCGATACAAGCTTTCAAAATCCATGTTAAACCAAAAAAAAATAAAATAAAATAAAAAATTAACCACGCCACGCGTGCGCAGAATGCAGGTTAAGAACCAGTGTGACCAAATAAGACTGATAACAGATTGATGTCGTGGTGTTGCCAGATCGTGGGTTTTCCTTTGAAATCGATCAAAAACCCAATTGAAATATCGAGAGCATTAATATAAAATAAGTTCAATTGAAGTTTATGTTAAAAAAATACACCGTTTTTGGCTCAACAACAATTTATAAACATTTTATCAGTTAAACATTTTAAAACGAAATTACAAAGCTACTTTTATTAAAATCGATTTTCTTATTAAAATGTTTCAACCCCACAAATTTTAACAAGTTTTCTCTGTGTTTTATATGGCTTAGATTCTTCCAGCAGTTCTTTCCAAAAAATTATTGTCAAGAGTTCAGTTTTCTTTCTGTCATCAGCTTGACACGAGTTTGTAATAACACAAACCGGATTTTTTATAAAAAAGAAGCTCGAGAGGCCCCTATTGCCTGTGAGGCCTTTTTTGAGTCCTGCCGTGAACTCTGAACTGCACTATTAATAAGGTATTCTATTTTTGCAAGGTACGCTATGCTTTAACGTTACTTTTTCTAACCGCTTTTTGCATGTCAGGCCATTTCTTTGCTCTTGCCTGCTTTTTGCTTTGTTTTGACAGGCTGCGCGTGCTTTTTTCTAGCTCATGTTTAACAATATAAATTTATGCATGCAGGCGGGCGTTTGCAACTTTTGCTCGCAGTTCGCCACAAGCCGCAGCACCTACATACATACGTACCGCCGTTGTTGTTGTCGTTGCGGTTAAGCCGCCCATTGCCTACCACCCACCGCCCACTTAACCCACCACCCACTCATCCCACCAGGGGGCATCTTGATGGAGGTTGTGGTGCACTCAAGTGCCTGCTGCCGCTGCTGCTTCATTTTCCTAATTTATACGCGCGTTGTGCTAATGAAAATTTACGTGGTAACGCAACTGCACACTGTTTTGTTGCCGCTGCTATTACACTTTTAAAATATCGCTAGTAAATTGCCATTAAAAATTTAAATGTTCTCCATAAATTACCTATATTTTGGCGAGGCATTCTTTTAATCCATTTTGTTAAAACATTTTATGTAGTCATGTCTTTCTTTTAATTTATTAAACATAACAATACCTTATTTATAAATACCCATTTATTATTTTTCTTAAAAATACATATTTTTATATTCATAATTTGTAATAAGAAATGTATGTTTTTATAGGTATTAACCCCTTTTTAAAGTAAAATTTTTTTATTGACCTTATTCAAAATTTAAAAATCTTTTTCGAAGTTTTTATACCCTTGCAGAGGGTATTATAATTTCAGTCAAAAGTTTGCAACGCAGTGAAGGAGACATTTCCGACCCTATAAAGTATATATATTCTTGATCAGGATCACCTCCTGAGTTGATATAGCCATGTCCGTCTGTCCGTCTGTCCGTCCGTCTGTCCGTCCGTCCGTCCGTTTCTACGCAAACTAGTCCCTCAGTTTTAAAGCTATCTGCTTGAAACTTTCCCAAAAGTTGTCTTTCTATTGCAGGTAGTATATAAGTCGGAACGAGCCGGATCGGGCGACTATATCATATAGCTGCCATATAACTGAACGATCGGAAAAGCCATAACGTTGGTGTTTTTAAAATTTAGGCAGTTGGGATTTTCTATAAGTTTTATGTTTGGCCAATTAATCCGACCTACCAAATTTCATAAGGATCGGACGACTATATCCTATAGCCGCCATATAACTGATTGATCGGAAATGCCATAACTTTGGTGTTTGTAATGTTAGAAAGTTGGGATTTTCTATGGGTTTTATATTTGGCCAATCAATCCGACCTACCAAATTTTATAAGGATCGGCCGACTATATCCTATAGCTGCCATATTACTGAACGATTGGAAATGACATAACTTTGGTGTTTTTAAAGTTAGGAAGTTGGGACATTTTATGAGTATTAAGAATACATCATATGAATAATTTTGAAGAATATAATTTACAGAATATTCTGCAAGGGTATATCAACTTCGGCTCCGTCCGAAGTTAGCTTTCCTTTCTTGTTTTTTATAAATTCCTGACATTTTAATGCAAGGCAAAGCAAATAATATTTTTAATACAATGAATAGATATTGAAATTTTGAAGATGTAATGTCAATATTACCCCAAACTTAAATTAAATTCAAAATTTTTAATTTTTCCTTGCAGTTCTTGTAAATATATATATATTTTGTTTTTTTATAGTGTACAGCTGAAGCTTCTTGTGCTTGTTACCAGACCTGGGCCCACTTCTTGATGCATCCCTGAGAAGCCCTGAGCTCCACTTTTAACCCATTCCGCAGCCTGCGGTTGAGAAACGCTCGGTGACAGCCGCAGAGTAAAGCCACATTGTGCCACTCCATTGCCCTTTCCCAATCTCAGTCAGCGGGTTGATTTCATTCGAAGCATACAAATTTTCTGGTAAAACTAAAAACAAATTTTTGGCATTAAAAATAGTCCAATCTGGCTAAAAATGCAAATATGGCCATGACAGAGCCAAGCGAGGAATTGCTGGATCGCCATTTCAGGCAGCAGGTGGCCAGTTACAAGGATGTGGACCAGTCGCGGGCCAATCAGTCGGATCGCCTGATAATAGCCAAGTGGATGAAGGTGTTCGAGAGGACTCCACTCAGCCAGAAGTTGGCCCGAAATGGTCTGATGCTGCTGATGCATGGCCACTTGAAGGACTTTGGTTATCTCAAGGAACCCTTCGCAGATGTGCGGAATTGCAGCAGGAATCTTAATGATATTTTGGACGAATACAGGGGCGAATCATGCAAAGGGGCATCTCTTCAGGACAAAATCAACAGCTCTTCGTCTGTTAAAACTACCAATAGAGTTTCGGAAACTCAAGCAAAGGAGCAGCAACGATCCTCTACTCTTTCCCGGACTGCATCCTTCAAAAGGACCTCCAGTCACATTCTGCGCCCCAGGAAGCTGGATCCAATCCTGGAGGTTACTGAACCCTCGGAAAAAGAACGCACAACCAGCAGTTTTGCCAGCTTGGTGACGGTGATCCGAAAAGAAGACTCCCGTTCCAATTCTTCGCAGGACCCCTTGAACGAGACTTGCTTAAAGTGCGTTCAAGAGGCAAAAAGACAAAGTGTAAAGCAGAGAATTCAAGCTCTAGAGGAGGAGCTTTCAAAGGACAAGCGGGCTACTTTAAGTACAAGATCCTTGGAAAATGTCAGAAAGTACTATCGAAAGAGCTCAAGTAGTGATGAGGACTCGGCCTCCAATATGCAACCAGAATATTGCCCTGTTAAAAGTGAAATAGCCGATGGCTCCAAGCCCAAGTCGCAAGAGCAACTTAAGAGGATTACCAATGTCATAAATCAGGTGACCCGTCGATCAAGTGCTGTTAATAGTCTAAAAAACTGTTTCGAAGAAATGGCCGAACGTTTGAGGAACAGTTCCGATGGTGAAAATGGCTTACCCGTACCCAAAACAATGAATCCGCCACCTGTGCCCCCGAGGAACTATCGAAGCTGCCAGGAGGATGCTTCCACTTTGATGCCCAGGAAAACTGGAGGTCAGTCCCTTCCCCCAAATTTTTTCAAGGATAAAACTGTTCAAGATTTGTTAACTCGGCGGGAGGAGCTGCGTGTTCAGTGCTTGCAGTACTACAAGTCGGATGGCACTCTGAAGGATTTGAAGGACATGCCTGCTCCCCGAAATGATACAAAGGAAGCTGAGCTTAGGGCTAATGGCCTTATAGTTGGATCCTACAGAGCCTTGGAACGTTTAAAACGCTGGCGGGGAAAACCCAAGCAGCTGAAGTTCTTCAAGACCTGCTTCCGGGGATGTGGATTGGAGTACTCCGGGAAGTTGCAGGCACTGGATCGAAGATTTGAGCAGGTGGCTCTCAAGTGGCAACGGCAGAAGATGCTCGTTTGCCGACGCAACACTTGGCGTCGTTACCGCAGGAATATGCTGGCCAAGAAACCATCACCCACCATTGCGGATCTGCTCCAGATGCGACACCAGTTGGAGCTGCAGGAGGAACTGCAGCGGGAGCGAATGGTCCACCTAGCCAAGATCATAGAGCTTTGCAGGACCCACTGCAGCGGAGTCATCCGATCGGATGTCCTTCAGAAGATGCTCAGCCGCCTGGACGAAGAGTACGCCCAGCTGTCCGGAGATCTCAGCTCATTGTTCCGGCAGAAGGAGCAGCTATTTCAGTAAAGGACCCTCCGAATTCGTAACTTTCCTTGTACCTGTTTGTGTAGTCCCTTTCCACTTTTAACAACATTAACACCGCCAGCTGCGCTGCTCATTAATTAATTTAAATACTACGCTTTATTAAATTAAAAACTTGCGAAAAGGGAACAAAGTAAGGGGAGGGGGGTCGAGGGGGAGGGATAAAGCTGGAGATGACTACACAATAAACAATCTACTCGTAAACAGCAGCTATTTTTTAATTATGCAATGTTTCCGTTGCAGCTTTGCGACAAACAGTAAGCTGAGCTGTGCTGCAAAATGGACAAGGGTATACCTTTTGAGATTCCAATTCGAATGGATATATGTATTCCAATTTAGTGCACTTTAATATAAATAGTTTTTTGGCTTAAAAAAGGGGATGGAGACTTGTAGGAATATCTGGATATTAATATATATTATTTTTTAAGTTACATAAAAATAAGACATAATGTGATTTTTTTTTTAGAAAATTATTCAATACTATAGTTTATAATAAACTAAATTTAAGTAAATCTAATTATGATATAATTATCGATCATTCGTATTATATTCTTGGCTTTCCAGCCCATAAACCCCAATTAGCCCTTACTTATCCAGGGTATCAATAACAAAGCGAAATACAAGAAAAATGGCTGCCAGCTGCGACTATTTGCCATTTTGTAAGCAAGCTGGGAACTAGCAGCAAAAACCAGCCAGCGACGAAAAAAGGGCGGAAAAAAGCATGGGAAAACTGTCGCTAAAAGCAGTTTTCCAAAGTACTTTCCACCGAGTTGGCTGGGCGTGGTCAAGCGGAGTTGGCCGTTGGAGTCCATCGGTGGTCAGTGAACTTGCCGCAACTTAATATCCGCAAGTATCGACGACACACATATATAATTATGGCCAGCATAAGCATCTGTATAGTTTGTACTGTACATAGTACACAGTTATAGGTAGGGCATAAATGATGGCTTCATCGGGCTTTCAGTTTGGTTGTGAATTTATGGTCTATATTCAGAAATTTGCATAGAACGCTGTCGTCTCACCCGCCTGTCTGCCTCTGAATTAATTAATTATTTATAGCTTGCGAAACAAGCTACCCAGCGTTGGCCATGTTTGCCGAGTTGCAAATTTTGCTGGCTTAAAGGTTGCGTCCTAGACCGGAGGCTTTAAGCAAGACGTCACCCTCGGGTCTTATCTAACCATAGTGATCGCAAAATATGGTTTTGTTTCAATCCCCGATATCAGGCTCATGTGCATGGCAGGCACGCACACATAATTATAATTTTTACAACGTCTAAATAAACTCAGATACGTTATGCCCAGAGGGAGGAAGGGGTTTTACAGTGAGTCAGGTAGGGCGGTGCTACCTGTAGTACTGAATGACAGTCCAAAGAAGGTAGCGCGACATTCGCTGCTGGCCATTAATTGTAAAAAAAACAAAGGGTATCAGCTTGAGAATTGAATTGTTTAGCGTTTGCCAAACTTTGTGACGCAGCCGGAAGTGATTCTAAATATGGAGAAAGTTCGTTTAGAAAAAGCGAAAGGATGGTTATTGTTCATTGTGTGCATTACAGTGCTTGGTTTCTTTATTTTGTTTAATAAAAATGTAAGTAATTTAAATTTAAACGTTTTATTGCTCCTTTTTCCAATACCTAAAAAAAATTTATATAAAATATAATATTGCTTGTTCTTAACATTGCTTATATAATGAATAAAATATAATTTGCTGCTAATTTGAAGGTTTGTTTTTATATCCAAATGACTGATTTGTTATAAATATTTACATAGAAACATAGATTATTTTAGATTAGTTATAATAATATTAAATTTGTTAATTGGTTCTATCAGAAAAGGTATTGTTAGAAGTACTTCTCTTAAAATGTTGTATAATAATTTGGGCTTATATTACATGGTAAAATCATTAAAAAACTGAAATATTATTGTATTTTAATATATAAGAATAAAAAGGACCTCGTGATTCATTTAAAATACCACATTGAAGTATTCCTTTTTTGGCTGTCATTATTCACAAATTATTCTTATCTTAAGCACTTTTTAATAACATTTTAATGCCCCATAGAGTATTCTGAATTTCATCAATTTAAGTTCTTTATTGGTCGTTGTCGTATATTTATTCTTTCTCAGCAATTTCAAATAGCATTAAGAATATAATTTATGCCACTCAGCGCGCTCAGGTCTAGCAATATTAATGATGTCGCAACTTCTCCGGCTCTCTCCCCGATTCTCGGCGATTCTCTTCGCCGGTCCCATGTCATCCCATACAGCCAGAGGCTATAAATATGATTGACTAACCGGACCAATCGAGCAGTTAAATTTTGAATTTCGTACGTAAAGCCAGCCGGAGGAGCAGTAATCGAAAGGGAGCCATGTTGGTCAAGGTCTTAATGGTGAGTGTGCCGTCCTGAGTGCGGAATCGAGATATATATGTGGATATTTCAAAACGTATCAATAATCCTGCCAGCTCGCATTGCTCGCGGTCCTGAGCCAGGCGAAGCCCCAGCTGCTGGTCACGACGCCAGTGAGTTATGCCACCGGAGCGGGAGGCGCTTGGCTGGCTCCTTCCTCCGCCTACTATCCATCGTACGCGTATGCCAGCTATCCGGCCTACGCGGCGTATGCGTATGCACCGGTTTATGGCGCATACGCCTCGTATCCCTACTACCCGTATCTAAGGCGGTGAATCTGATGCCTGTTGCTGTTGTCCTTTCAGATAGCTAACTTATGCGTTCAGTGAATTTGTAGTTATTCGTACTACAAGGAGACATGGGCATTTCGGAATGTTCCACAAATTATAGGACGTGTAATTTAATTAAGATATGCAACGTTTTATCTTATTTCATCTAAGTAAATAACTTCTTTTAAGGTTTTCTTGTTGAACAATGCTGTTAAATTTTCTGACATGTAATCTATAATAAAGCTCAATATAAAGTGCTTCAAACAATCAGTGAAAGTGTACTCACTTTTAATTCAATATGATATTTATTTAAACAAGTGCCCTTTTATATAAGTGTATGAAATGAATCATAACCATGGCCAATTGCAAGTTTTAATGTAAACTTCTTATCAGAAAATAACCAACAACATTAAATTACCAAAACAATGAAGAAAATGTGCCTACTAAAAGTTTCGGAAACACCCAGAAATTAAAAGAAGGAAAAGTTTATAAACTGCCAAGGCCTCACTGTGAATATTTTTATGCCGCTTTGCTGTGTGCTCGGAATAATTCTGTTGGTAATGTTTTATTTTCCCTCGCGCTTGATTCGATTTGGCGCCTCAAATCAAAGCGGCATAAATACATAAAATGATAAACAAATCAATAAATGGCAAGAGGCATCATCTACCTTCAGCCGGGTTCTGCGGGATTTTCCATTTGGGTTTTCTCTTTTCCAGCTTTTCCCCTCTGGTCGTTCCTCAAATTTGCTTACATCTGCGCATATTTTCACTTGCACGTCTTCAGTTGGGAATAGGGAGTTGTGGGCGGGGAAAAAGAAGGACTACGGGCAGGATGTCGGTGAGTATCTTGGTAACCCGCTACTGATTTACCTTACGTGTATAAATCTTTTATTCATGTAATCCATTTGAAAAACACGTTTGCACATGATTGTGTTCGTTTCGAAAAAGGGAATCTTTCTAACATATGTATGTATGGGCCAACCGACATATGTGCGGTGTGTATTTGTGTGCGAGTGTGTATTTGATTTGAAAAATCGTCAAAATTATATAAAGTGAATACAAATTTCATTTGCTCGGTTTTATTGCTTCGCCAGTTGCCATACAAACATTGGTTGCCAATTGCCAATGCCACAGCGTTGGTAATCAAAATAGTTACACTTCGGCTTTGCCACGGCACTAACGATGGGTAAAGCTATTTTGATTTGAAAAGGATTACTTATTGGGATGGCTGGGGATGCATAATCATTTTGTGTACAATGCCAAAAGGTAGAGTAAATTCGAAAAAAGAGTTTGATATTTGGAGGGATTTCCGAAAGTATTTGTGTTTTCAAATTTATCCAAATATAAATACCTGAAAAGGAAAAACAATATTTGCCTTTATAAATTTAGCCAAATAAGGATATCTTAAAAAAATTGGTTTTGTATTAATATATGTAGGATTGATTCTGCCACTTAAAAGCGTAATAAGTTTAAGTGTCGGCAAATTTTAAAAATAATGGCGGGTATGGAATAAGAAAATGTAAATTATTTTTTACTCACAAATTTACTTTATATAAATTATTTTTTACCCATAAACCGTTTCTGATTTATATGGAGGACCATTTTCGAAATAAAATAAAACCATTTTTAATAATCTAAACTTTATTTGAAGCCCCTAAAGTTTTGCTCATTATGCGAACAAAATCCTTTCAACAAACTTGCCATCATGCTTATCATATTTTCGCTTACCTTTGACAACTTTTGGCCAACAAAAAACAGGTATAAAATAAAAAAGGGATGACAAACACGATAGGGCGACAACAAGTAATATTCAACCAGGAGAGGCAAAAAGTTGCCTGAGCTCAACGCAGTTTTATTGAATAAAAGGTCATTAAATTTGGACGCTATCTGTTGCGAGAACTTGCGAAAATGGAGCAACCAGTTTCCCTTCGGCCGACTTTCCCCTCGCTGGATTTTACTAGCCTTTTCCGCTTAGGTAGCAAACTTTACAACTACTTGGCATTTACCACCTGAGAGAGGGGGGGGGGGGGCGGGGGCGATGCCAAAGTTATGATAAGGAGCAGCAGGAGACCGCCGGGGGCAGAAGGCTCCACTCGGGCCTTTCAACGCGCAGGACAAAGTCAAGCAGAAAACTTGACTGGAGCCGCTGGCTGCGGATGGGTGGAAAAAAAGGAGAGAACGCGCAGGAAACGCTGAAAGGAAGCATATTTCATATAGAAAAGAAATCCTTTTAAATGGAAAGTTTAATCCTAGCCAAGGCAAAGCGCAGACTTGCCGCCTAGGTGCCGATGGAGCAGAAAACGCGGAAAGGGGACGCCAGATGCCGGGCTTTCGATAAGAGCTAAGCTGAACTGAACCGAGTGGAAAAAGCGGAGTACAAATTGCTCCCCATCACTGCTCAAAGCCAAAGGAGTTCATTTTGTTCGGGAAAATTGCATAGCGGTAGGGGATGTAGTACACTAAAAATATCATTAACTTAATGTTTGGTTTATAAATCCCACTACATATACGAACATTTTACTTAAAATAGAAAAAAAAGCATTCGACAAGCAAAGATCCAATATTCATCGGAAATTTTCGGATAGTAGAAGATATTTTTAAAATGTTCCAAAAAGTGGTTCTGAATTAAAAAGAATGTTATAATATAATATATTGGTAGAAAATAAAGTCTTCTAAAAACCAAAACCATATAATAATATATTTCATTTCTGTTGGTCGTTCAGTTTTGCTAAGTCATCTTCCCATCTTCCCAAACGCTGTCTTTAAAGTTTTCATAATGTTATGCCTGCTAATAAAATTTTTTTCAGTGTGAATATTTTTATAAAGAAAATAAATGCTTGGATTCGTTGGTATTCACAATTCTTTATTTGCACAGATTGGTCAAGATGGGACGCACAAACGGCCTGTTTACTTCTTCAGGAGAACGGGAGCGGCGATGGGGGCGGTGTAGGCCGCTGCCACGGGGGCGGCGATGGGCGCTGCGAAGGGGGTGGCGGCGTAGCGGGCGATGGGGGCGGTGTAGGCGGCGGCGATGGGGGAGGTGTAGGCGGCGGTGTAGGCAGCAGGGGCGGCGTAGGCGGCGGCAACAGGGGCGGTATAGGCAGCGGCGACCGGAGCAGTATAGGCGGCAGCAATTGGAGCGGTATAGGCGGCGGTGTAGGCAGCGGGGAAGGCGGCGCTGTGGGCCACCGTGTTAGCCGTGTAGCTGGAGGCGTAGGGGGCCACGTAGGCGGCACTGCCCACCACAGCCGGAGCGGTATAAGCCAGAGGAGCGGCGGCCAGAGGAGCCACAATTCCGGGCTTGGCAGCAGCCACAGCCACAACAGCGAAGAAGCAGACGGCGAACTGTGTTTCAAAATACTCCTTAATTATTAAAATCCTTCAGATAGTTCAAGTCCTGACAGCACTTACGAATTTCATGTTGATGGTTTGGTTGGTGTTTTGTTGGCTAGTAGTGAATACTTGAAGCTGTGAGCTTGATTTGATGTTGAGTCGATCGAGCCTGCCAGTTTATATAGTGGCCATAGCCACTTGGACACGAAGGCCGCGCTTACGTTTACCCATGCAGCTGGCATCGCTGACATCGTAGCTCAAAGTCTTTGACTCCGTTCCAGTTTAGTGGGCCAATCCAAGCCGATGCGATCCGTTGTTGGTGCACACGCACACTTGGCACGTGCCGGGCCTAATTCGGTTTGACTTTGTAACCGGGGGCTGGGTAATTGAAATGCGTCAGCCCGCAGGGCGGAACAAAGGCCGTAAAGCAATTATGATCGCAGAATCCCACTTGAGGGGTGGCTATTCAAATGGCGGAGGATTTTGATGTTTACCTCCATTATTCAGGAACTACAAACTATTAGCAGACGAATTTTCTGAGACATTAAACACAAAATCTGACTAGCGTAACAAACATAAGTTTTTTGTTAACTGGTAGCGCTGAGCTAAATCATTAAATAATTATAATTAAATTACATTAATTAAGTGTTGGGATTAAATAGTTACTTTTTTGTGTATAATATAAACTTCTAACTTCTAACTTTATTTCAAAGGTGTATATTGTTTGATATAAAGTAAAAACCTTTTCTATAAATTAAGTTTAAAAAAGTAAAAGCTATTACCTAAAAATCCTTTTATGCTATTTTATATTTACTGCAATAAAATCTAAATCTAAGATGATATGCTAAAGTAAAAATGTGTATAAGTATTTTTATAGTTACTTGTAACCCTATTAAATCTAAATCCCAACAATGTTCATCTAGTTTAGTTTAAAAAGTTTATGCCATTTATAAAATTTGGTTATTTGCAATTTTCCTTAGAAATTTCGACTAAAGTAACAAGTTTTTTATTTAAATTAAATTAAAATGGTTTAAAGTCTAAATTTGGAAAGCTTTGAGCCACCTCCGACAATCTTCTCGGTGGTTCCGCATATCCTTTTTTCTCTTCCCCAGGAAAACTGCTTTGTTCTCATGAATAATTTGTGGAAACCACTTAAAGGCGGCCGCCCCTTCTTCAAAGTCTTTCAAATGTCGCTGGAATTTTCTGGTCGAATTCAAAGCAGACATTTTTTAATAGACTTCATCTTGATGAGGGCCTGGGATACGGATACGGCTTAGACTGTTTCTCGAGGTGGGGGTTTCATGTGTGCCGTTCGCTTTTTACGGCACTTAAACGACGCATTAACGCGCACGCACAGCTGCTGCCACGCCCCACGCTGTTGTCGCACCACCACCGCCCCCAGATCCTGATCCCGATGCAGACATAACCCCGGCCAAGTCAGAGGCAGCTGCGCCTTTATTACGGCAATAAACTCAACTTGGGCCAGGGACTGGGCGAAAAAAAGCAAAAGTGCCGCGAATATTTCACGCAACTTGTTTAAAGTTCCTTGATGATGCCCTGTACCAAGGAATATTCTTGGGGTAGCTTGGTGATTGCAAGTCTTTGTTGTTCTGAGTCTGCACAAAAATATATGCAGTGAGTTTTATTATTTTTGAACATTCTTTTGAGAATAAAGTAAACGTAAATCATATTTTAAGCACTCCCAACTCCTATGTTATATTATGTGAATAAACTTGAATGCAGAGTACATTTATTTTGGTAAAAAACTTTTTTATCGCTAACACTTTAAAATACGCATATATTTATAGAGGTTTATAATATAATATATTAGTTTTAACAGATTTAAATTTTTATATTTATTTGTTAGTTATTTGTTATTTGTTTATTTACGTAATGGATCATCTTGTCCAATTTGTATCTTGATTTTATATTATAAAAAATAAAATTTATCATATTTATTGAACGCGATGTATTAAGGATGTACGAATGTCGAGAAAGGTCCACTGCTCACTTCTTTTGCTTTCGAAATCCTTGTCCCAAGCTTTGTCCCTGTCAAACGGAGCGAATTTTTGTGCGCGACTTTTTGTGGAAATTTCTTGCTTTTTAATTACTTGCCGGCACTCGTGGATACATGTAAATCATCCCCGGCTCCCAGGGGATTGCTCTTTGATTCGCTCCCGGCTTGGGCCACTCGAGAGTTGCGGGCACTGCACTTGAATTGGCTAAAAGGGAGATCGACGGGCGGTAGAGGAAGTGCCATCAAAGCTTTTAGGCGGATTAACCAATATAATAATTTCAGTAGCAAGTCCTCGCCGCAAACTTGACAATGAAAGCAGCCTGGCGGCCAGGAGGGAAGTCAAGTGTCAAAACAAATATGTATGCCTCCTGCGGTTGCCGGAGCAGTTTTCAATTCGAGGCCCGCTCCCGGCAGCATGATTGTGCATTTAGTAGACACCACCCACACCCGACCACAAAGGATGTCGGCCCATTGGCAATAGGCTGGCTCGTATGCACAGGCACATGGCAAACACTTGAGCCGCACAAAAGGAGCGAAGGAAGCGGCAGGATGCGCGCCAAATCCTGCGCCAGCAACATCATCATCAACAGTGGCTTGCGAGCAAACCAAAAGAAGAACTGGCAACAATTTGTTGAACTCTGAAAAAAATTCTAGCATAGTGCGTGGAATTCTTAGGAAAATAATTATTAAAATATGTTGTGCAAAGTATTTAAAACGAGATTTGAAAGTTATTTGGTTTAAAAATTCAATGGCTAGCACTGCAAATGTAGTTTTCTCCTTGTCATTTTATGAAAGAATTTAATGATAGTTTTAAAAATATCCTATATTTTAATTATTGTAACATGTTTTTACTATTAAATTTTAAGAAGAATAGAAGTAAAGTTTTTGCGGAATAATATTGAGAATGGACCGATTTATGATATAATTGATGAGATTAAGTTCTTTCCAAAAATTTGTAAGTTAGAGATGGCGAATTGATAGGATAAGTATATTGCATTTTAAGATCAAAAGTAAAGTGACTATACAAACAATGTTGGCAAATTACATTTAATTGCTTATGAATATAAGGAAATTTACTTAAAAGATGTTGAAAAACTATATCCATGTACAGCATTAATGTCAGAAAACCTATTATTGAAATATTTTGAGATTTTTGAAACTCCACGAGATAAGATTTATCTACAATTAATCTATATTTTCCTGTGTATTTTTCCCACATTCTCTTGAATTTACCACCCTTTTGAGCAGAGATTCTTTTCAATCCCTTTCCTTTCCATTTTATCGCCACCACTCGCCAATCCAATGCATTGCTGAATTCGCGTAATTGGCATTTTTAAGCAAAATTCACGCTTCAACACTTTTTCAAGTGTGAGACTGCCACTGCAGGAGTATCAGGACATATGTGACTGTAAAGCCTGAAAGGGAGTGAGTGGAACTGGGGCCTCCACCACAGTGCATCCTTACAACGTGTGCTTTAGCACACACGACAGCCTGCACTCGATATTTCTAATTAGTGAGTTTTAAGCTCTTTGCCCGCAATTTGCGACATTTATTAATTAATTTCTGGCAGCGGTAAGAGTGGATTATTAGACTGTTATTAGCCGGATTTATTGTGGGCTATTAAAATAGGCAGGCAGTAATGGTGCGGAATAAACTGATAATTTCCTGATGAAGCGTTGAAATAACATCCATAAATCACACTATTTTAGCTACCTTTTCGGAGGCGGTTTAACCCGCTAAACCTATCAAATTGTAAACGCATTGCAGCCGCCAAGGTCAGGGACAAATCGCCAAGCGAATCGAAGTAACGGACGCTCAGGCACGCACCAAAATAAGACATGGCCAGGTCTAGACCACGAAAACTAAAAAACAAAACAGTAGCGATCCGGCCAAGAATTGCGCATGCGCAACGTCAATCGAAAGTCGTTGACTTGGCAACCATCGATGGCTGATCTAAGAGCGTGAACCGCATTCATAAACAGCTCGGAAAGTGTAAGTGGCTATAAAAGAGCCGTGCAGCTCTCTGTTGGACATCACAAACCAATTGGCCATCCACCAAGTGACAATCCAAAAAAAAAACAAAATCATCATGTTCAAATTCGTAAGTACAAAAGAATTATTTTGAAAAACTTTTTAAATGCAACTTCAACTTGCAATACACAAATTATCAAACTAGTAAAAAATTGAAAAATCTTTTGCATTTTTATATTTTGTCTGATCAGTTTTATTTTGGTAAAGAAAAAGAACTTTAAAATTTATTGAATGAATCAAAACAAAAATTAAAATTTTTTTGACAAATTTTTAAAAATCAGAAACCAAGCTTAAAATCAATGTTTAATACCGTTTAACTACCCTTTAAAAACTGCTACAATTTTTTTAAAATTAAATTCCTTAAAATCAGTTAAATTTTTTGTACAAAAAATGTCTTTAGAATTGAACTGTATATCCTGATACTGATCATATCCTTTTTTAGGCTGCTATCTTCTTCGCTGTTGTGGCTGTGGCTGCTGCCAAGCCCGGAATTGTGGCTCCTCTTGCCGCCGCTCCTCTGGCTTATACCGCTCCGGCTGTGGTGGGCAGTGCCGCCTACGTGGCCCCCTACGCCTCCAGCTACACGGCCAACACCGTGGCCCACAGTGCCGCCTTTCCCCGCAGCCTACACCGCCGCCTATACCGCTCCGCTTGCTGCCGCCTATACCGCTCCAGTCGCTGCCGCTTATGCCGCCCCATACACCCGCTTCGCCGCACCCTACACTGCTCCCTTCGCCGCTCCCTACGCCGCCGCCTACACCTCCCCCCTGGCCTACAGCTCGCCCTATGTGGCCCGTCCGTACGTCGCCGCCGCTGCCGCTCCTCTGCTGCTGAAGAAGTAAATCAACGGATTGTGAACCCCAAGGAAAATATTGCCCCGTGGGCTTGACCCATGGCTTGGTATTTGTTTTCCAAACACCCCAACTTGTGATGCAATAAAAATCTAAGATTGTATAACTATGGTTTTTTATTATGGGTGATCCAAATTGCAAACAAAAATTTACAACTTTTCTGTATTTTGAAAGGCTTTTGGACTGAAAATATTTCAATAAAATTTAAAAGCAATCTAAATAAAACTTTAAGCTT